GTGGGGGGGGGGGGGGGGGAGAAAGAGTTAGAAGGTCCCCAGGCAATGCCCGCTCGTCCTTCTGCTAAATATTTTAATTTTCAGTCCGTACCGGAAAGAAAACACTACACTTCACCATTACAAACCCATCCAAAAAATATATAGTTTTAGGCAGTGTTATAGGGTCTGGTACATATAGTTACCATTCGGGTTTAAAGGGACTATTTGTTTCAGCTACTGGAAGCTGTGCTACCCTGCTGTCTTGCGCTCCGCTCCTGGCAGTTTGTGGCTTCATTGTGCTCGTCACGACTCTTTTGTCCACCGCTCCAGCGACGCTGAGCTCGAGGTAACAACAGATGCCAGCGTTTTTCTTCAGCTGGTGGTAAATGCGTACCAGAACATTGTACTGAATGTTTTGAACGACTAGGTATCTAGGGATGACATGTGTCTAGACTAAAACAAGGGGAAAGGAAGGATATAACTGTGATTTGTTCAGTCTTGAGTCAAGTAACTAAAAATAGACGTGAAATGGGAAATTCTAATCCTGTTTGTCTAAAGAATCAAATCTATATTCTATGTTCTCAGAACGGTATCAATTAGACAATGCTCTGTTTGTCCCGTATTGTAGGTAATTTTAATGAGATTAATTACGTATTCTGAAGTGCTTTGTTTTTAACGAAATATAATGCTTGCACGAATTAAAAAATGTTACAGGATGTAATAATATTAAAATTTATTTGAAAATCGTATCTGATGGCTTACTCATATATCGCTTCGAGTTATTTATATTATTGATGTAAAGTTCTTGAAACTTTTAAAACGAGATATATTTATAAACTGATGGAGCATTGTCAATATTGCTTTCCGTATTATTCTAAGTCCTCATAGTGTTATATGTGAACGATTAACATTGTCATTTCCCCTTCACAAGGATATTTGTGTCCAAAATGTCATGTGGTCTTTGAGGTTAGGTTAGTCAGTTGCGGAATTATCACGCCAAAAAGGATAATGTTAAGAGGAAACCGATCAAATTGCTTTGTGAGAACAAACATTCCTGAGCCATGTCACTCAAGATTAAATATTGTGTGTTTCTGTACTTTCTTTGTGTGAATGTGGGGCTTATATAAGCGATTAAATATTTTTACTCACTTTTGTCAAATTTAACCTTTAATGCAGAAATAATATTGCTGTTATTTGTAAATTTAGGCCCGTAGTCTGATTTATTTTAATGTGAATTATTTTTAAATACAAGGCGCCAAACGTTTTAAGAGTGCCAGATCTCTAATTAAATTTGATTTACCGTGAAATGTCATTCACATAGAAATTAGCAACACGTCATAGAATGTGAACACTGTCTCCGTAGATATACCGTTATAATATAACAGTTTATCGTGCGAAACTTTACATATTAGTCGAAACAGTACCAAAGATATTAAATTAAGACTTCAAGCAGTGTATATAAAATTATTTAATTATATTACGATAGCTTACGCTGAATTTGACATGGGATTTGCTCAATATAAAATGTCACTTTTATACACTTAGAAGTCTTACGTTTAGTAACTTTAAAATTAGACATCATTTTTTTATTTTTAAATGATCACGTTACAGACGGCCTTTTGTCCAAGAAATAACCAAGAATGTAAATTTCAATCACAGGAATTAGTATGACGTATAAATGACGATATATAGTCACGTGCCACTGGTTTCGTAAGTCTGTTTTAATATTTTATCCGTTTTAATTTGCAAGAATGTACATATGTATAAAGCGAAAAATATACTTAAATTACGCTATAACACTAATAACGTCGTTTAACGTACCAGAGCAAAGAATTTAAGTTAATAAAATTAAGATTTCCTTTGCAGTCTTGAGTTCAAAATTTACGTAATCTAATGTCGCCATGATAGCAAGTCGATAATATATTTAGAGGAATTATGGATATGACTTGATTTATGGACGGAATGCTGAAACCTTGAGAAGAAATTATTAAACTTAATTTCAGTGAAAGTTTATCCGCTAGGCGAGCGGTTAAACAGGGAACCTCACACTTACATCATAATCGGAGGATCCCTGGTTGAAATCTCGGTCAGGAAATATTTTTTCCTCAATGATGTTTCTGTGGTTTTACCCAGTTCCTCCATACACATTCCATTACAATAAGTAAAATTATACGGAATCCACTCCTTTCCAGTTCACTCAATTCTATGTAATCAAAGCTATTGGAAGCGTCGTTAAATAATTTAATTAAATAACCATTATCGTCACATTTGACACGTAATAGTCTATGCAGTTCAAACAGCGTTGTTAAATAAACCAAGTTACTCAAGTAAGTTAAGCCTGAACTCCGTACACTGGAACACAGCGTTAGCATCGACTAGCTGGCTAACAACTCCTGGCTGGCTGGCTTGATCTGGCTAAATATTCATTTTATCTGATAGGCTGAGCCATGTTTCAGTGTATTTAGTATTACTAAACCACAGAAGGAAGACTTTTTATTTTCTTTGCGAAGTGTTAGCCGGGCCAACACGACCAATTCGCCTCTGATACCGATATTAAATATCCATTATTTACCTGATACAAACAGTGAAAGTAAGACAAATTCATGGTTCGATGCTGTTAAATTAACCGCTGTGTACTTAAGCATTACGTGGGGTGCATCGGAGACGTAGTTACGTTATGCAAACTCCAGTGGGAGTACGCGTTGCTTGTGTCGTAATTAAAACACGGGACCGCCATGCATCTAGGCAGATAAAATGAATGCGTAAGTACGTGGAATTAGAATTAACTGGTAAATAAAAACATACCGAGAGAGATGCTTTGTGGCCTCAGTATGAGCTCTGCCATAAACATTTCACCATCGTATTTAATGACGTTCTTTTGTTCGGAATTCGTTAATTTCCCCACAGTGCATGCGGATTCGACTCCATTGTTTTGATTTTTTTTGGTATTAGATTCAAAAGGATGAATGGGAAATTGTCGAGAGTAGAAATTAATTTGTAATATTAATTTTATATTTCGTATTACAAATAATAAAGAATTGAATTGAAAGAATATATAATATAATTTTAATGAAATGAGTAAAAATTATTTCTTTGTTACGGCTAGATAGTTTTGGTATTTAACGGATTGTAAATCTGAATTTTGAATACGTTTTCGTACTTAACTAAGAATGGTACGTAAGTTCTGTTGAATAATAATGCCTCTTGTTGGAATGTACCTGAATTACTTTGGCACGGATATTTGATGTAATCTTTAATATTATTAACATATTTACAGTGTATTATCATGATTTAAAATTTTCTTGTCAACTTTTTCTAGTTTATGGACACGTTCAGAATTTAATACGTCTTACGTGTGACGTCTTAAGTACACTTATTTCCTAACTATAAAATAAATTAAATATTTATCCGTTCTGGTGATTCCTTTGAAGTTATATTTTTATTTCTGCAAATTATTAAGTTATATTGCACGTACTGCCAGCAGCCAAGGGTTAAGTCTCGCGGACTAGAATAAAATCACTGGTGATTAGTGGCTGGCGAGATCAGTAGTTCTTTGTTCTCATCAGGAGTGACTTTAATGTTAGTTTAATTGTTGGTTAAAGTGAGTCGCAGAGCAAACCGATCATGCGATAATGTGTTTGAGGGAAACCAAACCAAACAGTGGAGTATCACGCACCTTTTAATTGCAACACGCACGACTTAAATTACTTTTTCGCTCGCGGGTCCTGTGGCCGGTACGTTGGAAAAAAAAAAGCACTCGAGCGCCTTGCTAACAATTGAAGAGCCACCATAAACTTCACGTTTGAACAAGTGGTTGCAGCTGCGACGCTAAATTAAAAACAGGCAAAGAGAAAATGGCGTTCGACTACTCCGGTCTCCGGACCTTCCAGTTAGCAACTCCTCTTACCATGTTCTTGTGCACATATTCGCGTCGTTTACAAATTACTTTTAGATTTGATATTTTAAATTCATATTACGTAAAAATCCACTGACATTTATATTGATCGTCTAAATTTTTAGTTCGTGTAATTTTTTGTATGGTTTCTTTAATGACGAAAATACTTCGTACTATATCTGATAGTTTTAAAATATATTAAAATTGTCCGTCAATCACAATAAAATAATATAAGATAATTAGATAGTTAAAATATTATCCTTTGTTCCGTATCGAGTACTCGATTTACATATGGAACTTTCTCGACATGTTTCGGCTTTCATAGAGCCGTCATCAGGTGTATGTTATAAACTCTTAATTCAATTACTAATTTTTTTAATTTTCGTATCATTTCTGATGTTAAATAAATAACGAATTTGAAAGGATCTGGAAGGAAGTGGCGATGGTATGATTTATTTATCGTAATATCAAGATATTTTCCTTAAATTACTAAGTAAAACCAAATAAACTTTAGGATGGCTGGTCTCCAGGCCAAGATTTGAACCCGGGACCTCGTGTATTGATAGCCACTCGCTCGCGACTTCCGATCTTAATAATAATAATGATAATAATAATAAGAAGAAGAACAGTGTTGCTGATTTCGTTGTGGAATGAAGTGAGTTGATAGGCACAACCTGTGTATTTCTTAAGTGTTGGTTGTGTCGGAGTAAAGTGTACACTTCCATAACCGAAAATGACAAACTCGAAGCCCCATTGATTTCTACAGATACATATATCTCTTTTCCAGCACATTATATACAATTATTCATCCATTCCATTATTTTACTTGTAGATAGTCTATGTTATAATGCCAATGTTCTACATTCTGTTGTATAAAGCTGTGTACGAAAATTTTGTAAATGGCCGCAGCATGTGTTTGAATATAGAACAAGTTATAAAATCACTACGTATACAAAGCTAAATGTAATAGGGCTTACGTATTTGTCAACACGACCCTTTGAAGCTGAAGCTTGTATAAATAATTTCAGTCCGTACCTCAAAGAAAACACTTCACAATTACAAAGATCAGTTTGTTAATGGTGTTTGCGAAAATAATCCGTGTTTACACATGAAAATAATACAAAACCCGGGAATATAAAATAAAGTTACTGACTGTTAAAGTAACTGGTACACATAGTTACCACTCGGCTTTAAAGGGTTATATAACTGGCCCTACAGGGTATAATTTACCATGTTCGTGGTGCTGTGTGATTAATTTATATTTAAACAAAGGGGAAAAGTTTCAAACAACAAATTGTGGATAGTGGTTCGATTTTAAGGTAAGTAAAGTTTCTGGCTGACGAGAAGGAAATACAGTAGTCGCTAAGGGCATGGATATTAAGAAGAATCTTCTGGCTCCGCGTGTGCTATGGCTGTTTTTATGTTTCATTATAAATGTGAACGCGTCAGTGATCATTTGGAATGACTGAAGACAAAAAGAATTCTCTGTTGAGGTAAAGTGAGGTTTAGCGAGCTCCCTGAACAGGACTGACTTTCTTTTCCATCTGTGCGGATTGTGGTTTCAGTTCTAGACGCGTGAAATTTATGGGACCGTGCTTATGAAACCGTGCACTGAAAGGAAAAGAAAAAACTTTTCAACTCTTCATATGAACTCATTCATACGCCTAAGATAAATATATACACAAGTTACAAGATATGATCGTTTATTTATATTGTCTTTCGAAAGCTAAATATTTGTCCTAGTCGAAATGATTTGTGCTTAAACATAACGCGAAGTCAAGTGTATTAATGATCAGTAATTTTTAAAAAAAGAGACTCGAATTAAAACGTTGTTTAACAACCGTTTAAAATGAATGGTGATTTTACAAAAAAAAAAATACAGAATTTACTAACATATTATTATTATTATTATTAATCTTATTATTATTGTCTAGTCTCTTGGATGTAAACCTCCATTACGTTTGCATTTCTAAACGAACGCTAAAGGATGTTAAAATGTTGCATTTGTTCCCGGGACATATGTGAGGTGCTTAGCGCCTGTTAAGGTGGGTTGAACGTCACATTATGTTTTACGTTTGAAGTTTTCTGCCAGTGGTGAATTATAATATGTAAAATTGTTCTTTTGGAACTCGTCCAGGCCTGGGGATAGTTCGACGAGGGGGGCACAAAAGACGAGAAACCTTTATCCAGCAGCTTGTAACGTGAGGCAGAATCCAGATTCCGAAAGATGACAAGTTTTATTATTTTATAACTGGACGATTGACAGAGCGCGAAAGAACAATATTACATTTCCGTCTTATCTTGCCAATCCTGTAGTCATAATTTATATTATATATATATATATATTGCATATGTGCACAGAAACCAAAGACTTTATAAAACGTTATATATCTGCTTGAGAAACAAGGTTAACGCTAAAGAGAAAAATCATGGAGGTAAATCTGTCTTAAACTAAATTAAATCGACGTTTTGAAACATGGAGAAATCCTAAATTTGCAGATGGATACCAGTTTTCACGATACAAACGTAACTGATACAGTACAAACGAGTTAATTGAATCCCTGATATCGTAGTTTAAATTCTTAGAAGTGTTAAATGTAAACAATTTTAAGCTTTTATTTTACAAGACAAAACGTACGTGGGAGTTAAAAAAAAAAGATTTCTGTGTACAAAATTTTTGTCAAAAATTACATGTCAACTCATCAGTTATTCGGATGGGAAAACAAATTAACACACTCATCTTTATGTAAAGGTAATTACTGGATTACAATAAAATATAATGAAAATTTGTTTACATGTCTGCTGGCAATAATGACATAACTGTCACGAATGGTATTGGCCGAATGATGCCGTTAGGGCAGAAATGCGTACGTGGGAGTTAAAAAAAAAAGATTTCTGTGTACAAAATTTTTGTCAAAAATTACATGTCAACTCATCAGTTATTCGGATGGGAAAACAAATTAACACACTCATCTTTATGTAAAGGTAATTACTGGATTACAATAAAATATAATGAAAATTTGTTTACATGTCTGCTGGCAATAATGACATAACTGTCACGAATGGTATTGGCCGAATGATGCCGTTAGGGCAGAAATGCGAAACTAAAAATTATTTTCTTTGATTTTTTTTTTTATTTTTTTTTTTTTTTGCGAATTGTGAAAATACCGCCATTATTTGATTTCAGTGGCGTAACACCTCGAACCATGACTCGTAACAGCAGACAAGTTTGGGAACCGCTGTTATGATCTATAGTTTGTTGTACCTCCATGTTTTCGTCTTTAGGACAAAGAATGCAATTTGCATATGTAAAAGAGTTCTTAACTGGTTGTCACATATTTTTCAGAAACTCGTCTCAATTAGGTCAGCATGGTCTCACATCTTTTTATACATGTGAAAAAATTATCGTATTGCTTCAATCTGATGTACGAAGTGGTACTGAAAATACTGTATTGAATCACTGTCTAATGAAGAGACGTCAGGAACCATAAGAATTTCACTTTATGGCATTACATTACTTCATGAGTTAATGTTCAAATAACAGTCAGGATTCAGTTTGACAGCTCGTAAATAATTATGTGGGCTGGGACACTTTTGAACAACAAAAAAGTCTGCAGACCTCGATTTTCTGTGTAAGATGCGTATGTTAACGCGGAAGAAAAGGGGGTTCAAAAATACATAACGCCGACTCATAAAATCTTTAAATAGTTTGTCCAATATGGTATTCTCCTAACTGATAATGGAAGTTATCAAGAAGGAGCGCGGGTTCAATAGGTTAAAATATAGACTTGTAAGGTTCAATTTTGTGTCTCAGATTTGTTTATCCTAAAATCCACGAACTTGGCCCCTTGTCATCTTCTGCAGTTAGGCACTTAAGTCATTATTTACCATAAATCTTGCTATTTTCAAGTGTTTGTAAAAACTGTAGCCAGCATTTTAAATATGCAATCAACAAATGTAATATATACTTAGTAGGCCCTGTACATAACTGATGATATGTAGATTTCAAAATAAAGTTATTTGAGGGAACATATTGAAAGTGTTTTAAGCGACATTCATTCAAAGAACAATTACATCCCAATGTGCTAACCTTCCGAAACAAGATATATTTCGATGTTTCTTACGTTTTTCTCAGGATTACGATACGAGAGATAGTGTATGAGTTTTGTTTACAGTGAAAAATCCCGAACGTGATTTCTGTATGGTTCCTAACCTGCTCTGAATAGTTTTAATCATAATGTACGTTGTAATGAGCTCCTTCAATATCACAATCCTAAAACCTCAGCACTTACACTAAAATACATGCATAATTGTTGTTTAATTTTTGTTCCAGAACAATTATCCCTTCCCTCTGTGTTCTATAATAACTTTAAATCTGTTCTTTTGCAGCAGATAGGTAGCTGTAATACCACAAGGTAATATTCAAGAATCCACGTGGTTTGTCGTAGAAAATAAATAAGATATATGTAGACACATAGATGCTTATTTTCTTGCGACAGATTGGTGCAATTTTTTTTTATGAATTTCATGTTCATA